ATTTCTGATGTAGATAAACATAGCATTTTTAAGTACAGCCTCTAAGTCAATAATAGGTATGTTGTTTTCACTATCTAGTAGGTTCTGTGCTTTAAAACGTATTTAGGATTTCGAGTTAASGAAGGTGYGTGTTTATTCAAGTTTTAAATAAAAACGGAGCATTTAAACAGATGTTATCTAAAAATTATTTGCAAATGCTAGTGACTTTGACGAATTTTGTTATACCTCCAACGGCTCCAACTAAAAATGCTTATAACCAAAACATTTATATATGTATGTTTAATATTTTTACAATACTTCAATAACAATTTATGAAGACCTTTGTATTGTAGTTCTTGAGTTTTGTGACCCAGTGAAAAATTGTTCTTCATAATTTGTAAAAAACACACTAAACATAATTAAAAATTTTAAATATCTATAAATAGATGCCTCAAAATGAATCATTATGGTACAATCAATACACACATCGTTTTGTATAAAATCTCAAATTGAATTTCGTCATTTATATTTTTATATAAAAMATTTTGTTCGAAGGACTACAATGATTGATATATTGAGACTCGTGGCGACTGACTAGAAAACTAACCACATTGCACAATGGTGTTTCCCAAGAAGCATCGTACATAACATCCAACGTGCATTTGATCAATGAGYTTACAGCATGGAATTCTTCTTGAAACTAGACACATATTTATTACGTAATATTACCTATTATTTTAATAATGGTATGTTAATTATACTCACTAAACGTCAAAATTAGAAATTTTCATAGGATAAAACTGAACATGAAAAATATCATCCGCTCACATCTTGTCATTGACATATTGTTTTCAAAAATGATGTCCTTGTCTACTTATCTCGCTGCACACGGTTATAGATACAATTGAGTCGACGTTTTATATAACGATATTATCGAGTACCTATTTAGCATCCATTATGTTAAAATTACTAATGTTATTACTAAATATCGAATAAAATATTCTATTGTKGCTTAGATTTGAACAGTAGTAGTAGAATTAGTATCTCCAACTACAGCAAAAAGATAAAATACTTACTCGACATAAATAAGTACTTAAAGGTATAATATTTGATATTATTTATATGAATTTATTTTTCTCGACTATCACAATTATAAGTCTTATATTGCAGCTTAAATTTTAAATCAATTTGGGTACTTTATACGTCTAAGTAGGATTAATATTAACCTAAATTAAATTAATCATATGCACAGYACATTTATATTTATGCATAGATTTTTGTTCAATATTGTGTAACATTAAAATATGATGTACCTTATATCACTTTTCCAAAATATKTGCATGTATAAAAATATATATTAAAAGCTCCAATTGAGATAAGCAATTGTTTTTCTTCAGATAATATTTATGTCATATTTTCAGGACAGATTCTGAATGAAGAGTAGGTTAGTTAGTAGTTACATCTTACATATTAGTCTTGCAGARTAAGATAATATTATTTTTATAATAGATAATGCAGGTGGATCAAATATTTCAATTTTTCAAGAAGCTCAATTATAGATCTCATATTAATTGTATTACTATAAGAAAATAATATCCACAATTGGATTTGATCAATAACTATTTTACTAACATTGACAAAATGACAACCGAATATTTAYTGACTAAACATTTAAAAAAATATATTTTTAAAATATTAAAAATTAAAACTAAAGATTAAATATTAGTTACTGGATTATTASTACATAAGAACTACGATATTGTGAATGTACTCTAATTACATTCCATTCATATATGTATAATTCGAAACTTAGGCCACTTTGGTACATTCTGTAAAGATGAACAATAACGCCTTCTTAAGTATTAATAATAATTTAATAACTAATATTTTATTTTAGTTTTTATAAGCTGTATAATATAAAAAGGAATGAGTTTTATGAGTATAATTCTTAAATAAATAATAGTTATATTATAAGCTAACAAGTTTTTATAATTCAATTTTACTATTTTTACACACTGACGATATCATGATAATAATTAAAGAAGCCAAAAATATCTAGACTTTTTATTTCCCAATTGTGATAAAAAAAACCTTTTCTGTGTTTTCTTTTTTACTTTTAATTTTTTAACCATTTTACCGATGAACACTCATAAATTAAAATCAACAGTTAATTAGGCCATTTTGATGAACGACATGAAACGCGCAAGCATATACATGCACAAATACTATGCAATAATTACATCTATAAAAATTAATAGAAAAATCGTATTAAACCACAGTGTAACTCAACCAATGAAATGCTCCCTATTCCTATAAACATCAATAATAAAGTCACTGATTACCTATGCATGCTCTTTATGGTCACAAAATAAAATTTTAAAAACTACAACTCTTTAAAATGAATTTTTGAAAGTAAGCCTAATGACACCGCTGTGGTTTACAAAAAATAAACAACTACTTATAATATAATGGTACAAAACTACCTACCTATCAACATGGATAATGAAAAAGTGTAAAAATGTGTTTCTACAAAACTCTACAAAGCCGAAGCCAGAAGGGGTACTCCACTATAAAATTGGAAAAAGATCCATCAACTAAAAGTACTAAAATATTCTACATGAAGCTCAATAAGACATTCAGACTTATAAATTAACTAAAATTTAAC